CGGTCCGGTACGGGCGCAACACCGAGGGTTGCGATCCATTGCCGGACACGAAAAAAGACAAAAAGGAAAAAAAAAAATTGCAGACTAGTTTCCATCTGAGTATTTTTTTTTTCTTTCTATTGAGTTATAATTTAGAGGAAGTGTGAGCTGGCTTCAGTGTTAGACTTACACAAACACAATTAAAGGAGTGTAACTTTATTGTTATCATAAGTTTCTCAAAGCCAAATATATATGATATCTGAAGTGTTAATACCATTGTCCATTTTTGTTAATAAGCATTGATAATGGAAAGATTATAAGATTTCTTTGATTTCCCCAAACAAGAAAAACTGAAATGATAGATTTCAAATTTTGCAATTAAAAGCTATAGAGAGGAATTTTAAGTTTTTAGTCAGTCTTTTCATAGAAAAATTTTGTTTTCAGAAGAAGGTGGACCTCATATTATATTGATATAAGTGGAACTGACTTGTATAAAGTAATCCTTCCTTTTGTTTATGAATTTAGCCATCATTTGTAGATCCCATCATTATTGCCCTATTTTCTAAATTGTAAATTGCGACATATTTTTGCTTGGAAGTATCCCATTTGTTATGTGTTTAAATATTATAGCTCTTCCAAGATATCAGTAGCTACGTTTAACATTATTTTATAATTTAACAGGCTTTTAATTTTTATTTATTTATTTATTTTATTTTATTATTATTATTATTTTTTGGTGGCTACCTGGTACGGGCATCAAACCCCTGACCCTGATGTTATCACCCTTTTTAGAGGGAATATAATGGCTAGACAGCCTTTATTTTTTCACCTGTATTTTTAAGGGCTTTTTATTTCTGTTGTTTTAAAGTATGTGATGCTATAGTTCCAAATTATTTGAGAATATATAACTTAGTGGGATAACTTGTTCAAATGTTTTTGATCACATAATTTAGTTTATTTGGAAAGGATTATAAGATTTAACATTTTCATTTGGGGTAATTGGACCCTTACCAGTACATTATGGATCTTTCAACAGTAATGCTATTTTATATTTTTAATACACACCAAATCACATTAAAAAGACATGCTGAGTATGTTTGTATTCCTTTTTCTTTATCCTCATTTAACTAATTAGTTCATTAATTAATTGCTTTGTTGGCTGGGTGGTATAGGGATTGAACCCTGGACCTTGGTGTTATCAGTACCACGCTCTAACTAACTGACCTAACCAACCAGCCTGTCTTCATTTTAAAAACACTGTTCTGTGGCCTTTGGGCCCATGCTATTTTGCGTCATTGGATGGATGGGCATTAATTTAGTTACTAGGAAGGGAGTTTATTTGTACTTGAGCTAAAGTTTGTTTTATGCTTTTTTAACAGTTGTGTGGAGTTTGACTTGAATGTAAACAATATTGTTGGAATAAGAAACACATTCCTTCTTAGAACTTATGCATACCGTAAGTTTTTGGTTTATTTCTAAATAATTATCAGCTTCCGTTTTTCCTTCATTCTTTATTCTTATTTGAAGATGTTTGTAGTAAATAGCAACATCTCTTTAGTTACGTTTAAGGATAATGTGTTTTATTTTATTGTTTTCATAATACAGGTTGAGTTTTCCTAATCCAAAAATCTAAAATCCAGAATGCTTCAAATCTGAAACTTGTTGAGTGCCAACATGACACTGAAAGGTAATGCTCATTGGAGCGTTTTGGATTTCAGATTTTCAGATTAGGGATATACAACGTATATATTCTGCAGATATTCCAAAATCCAAAAAAATCCAAAATCTGAAACACTTCTGGTCCCAAGTATTTTGGATAGGGAATACTCAACCTGTATGTTGCTACACTAAAATCATATACTACCAGAGTTATAGGTAAATCGAGTGCATTTTAATAATTGATAATTTTTAAAAGGTAACTAAGGTAAGTTTTAAAAGTAAAATACATTCGTGGTAAACACATTGTATAGTACACAGGGAGGCTATGTTGTTTTATTGGCGTGGAGTTGGGAAAAGATGTAAAGTTTCAAAGAAACTGTAATGTCTTCTTACAATTCTTAAGTTTTAATTTTACTTTCAGTTGAAAATCGAGTTCGTCCATTAGTGCTGGTGATTAAGAAGTGGGCAAGTCATCATGAGATAAATGATGCCAGTCGTGGTACTTTAAGCAGCTATAGTCTTGTATTGATGGTTTTGCACTATTTACAAAGTAAGTATTATGGGTTTTTTTCCCCAATTTTTAAATCCAAAATACAGTTAAACTTCATTATGGTGTCTTCTGTGTTGGCCTTATCTTCAAATAGCATTTTAAAAAGTTCTTTCTAAGGCCCATAAAACTGTATTTCTTCTTTTGTTGCTTTGAACAAATGCTTTAGAAATGTTATTCACTGGAAAACATTATGAAGTTTCACTGTGTTTTTATTTTTTGACAGTTTTTTCCTGTCCATTTTTGTATTCAAAGAACTTTCACTACTGTGTTGTGGACCCATTATCTTGAGGCAGAGGAATGTTCAGAAGGCCCTATAAAAATAAGCTCAAGCACCATTCATCACGTTTTTTATTCTTCATTTGAGACAAGAGTTAAATGATTTTCTTGTTCACAAGAAGTTTTTAATTTCCATGAGCTGCCCTTCCTAACTAGATTTTAACTTTACAGGACTGGTGTGTCAGATTGGCCCCAAAATTACAATTCAGTCTAGCTAGCCATTGTTTATGAGATCATTCTGGTAAAAGCCATACTTTTGTCCCATGCATAGTGGCAAGTAGTAGTAAGTGTACACTTGTAATTTGTGCCATTCATAAGATAGATTGAAAATTTTTACAGTATTGAAAATTCCCTACAAATACAGGTCAAACTGACCAGTTCTGATAGGAACCTTTCATATTTAATTATCTTAAGTATATATAATCCAAGAAGTAACAATTAAGCCACTTCACACGTTCTACTCAGCTGGACACTAAGATTTGTTAAAGATAGATGCATATACTGTTTTGTAGTTATTAGACCAGGGGTCTGAGATAGGTAATGACTGACTGACTGAATATATGGCTATCTGGTGGCATGAAGATTGAGTGAAAGACTTGATGCCTATGTAGTAGAAGACCATTTACCAGGATGTCTAGGGCCTGACCTGTTCTGGGTTGATGATATTTCCACTATTTAGAAACTTTGGTTTCAAAGATTACAATAATATTGTTTTAACGTGTATAATACTCATTTGTTTATTCCATGAATATTTGTTAAGTACCTACTTAATAAATGCTAGGTATTGCTCTAGGATCTGGGAATATGGCAGTGAACAAAATAGAAAGACAATTATTCATGAAGTTTACATTCTCTACATGTAAAACTTAACATTTTAACAGCTGTTATCTACTAAAACATATGAATTATTAAGCAACTTGTGGGTTAAATAAAATGTGATCTTTTTACCACTGTTGTGTGAGTTGAGCTGCTGGTAGAATCACTATCAACATATCATATCATCTGTAACACATTATTAAAATGTAGTGATGTAAAAAAATACCTATTGTAAAATATCCTTTTATTGCACTGTTTGGTGCTTTTTGTATTTAGATTATGAGAAAGATAGCAGAGATAATAGCAATTTTGTCAATGGCAGCAGAAAAATCAGAGCTTGGTGCCCTTACACCAGTGTTTCTGTACTGAGGATATTGGGGTCTGGTAAAAGCAGAAGGCACATTTTCCTTGGTATGAGGGTCAGAAATTATCAGGGTTGAGGATTACAATTTTGTATAACATAATTCCTGGAAGACTATGTTGCTTTGGATGGGGATTGGGGAGATGATGCCCAAATAGAGAATTTCTTTGTAGTGAGCCACTTTTACTAATAGGAGGCTAGAAGTGGTGGAGACAGAAGAAAAGATTGTCATACCAATGCCTAAAAAGAGCAGTTTAGAGGTGAGATGGGTTGTGAGGAATTGTGTTTTTTTTCATTTTCTTTTTCTTGACTATAATTAACAAAGATTTATTATATGCTTTTAATTAGCTAGAAGGGAGGATTTTGAACCAAAATAAATGATAAATGTTTGAGGTGATAGATATGTTGATTAACCTGATTTGATCATTGCTCATTGTATACATGTTTTGAAATATATAGTACCCCATAAATATGTACAATTATGATTTGTCAATTGAAAATTTAAAAAATTTTATAATAAAAATTTCTACTCCAATAAAAATTAAAAGAAGAGAAAGAAATACCGAGAGCAAAGACAAAGGTTTGTGGGCTGGCCCGGTGGCGCACTGGAGAGTGCGCCGCTTGGGAGCGTGGAGGCGCTCCTGCCGAGGGTTCGGATCCCATGTGGAGACCGGTTCCCGCTCACTGGCTGAGCGCGGTGTGGGCGCAACACCGATGGTTGCGATCCCGTTGCCGGTCCCCAGTACGGGCGCGACACCGAGGTTGCGATCCCGTTACTGGTCAGTAAAAAAGACAAAAAGGAAAAAAAAAAAAGAAAAAGGTTTGTAATGTATTATTTAGGTTTTCAACTTATTAATAGAGATGATACATTTAATGGGGGGGGCACATTGTCTGGCATGAGCAGGTGTTAACTGTTGGCTGGTATGCATATTGGGGCTCTAAGCTCCTCAAAAGTGCTTGTGTTGAGCTAGACAAAGTGAATCAAGGAATTCTTTATTTTCAAAGGTCTGGCTTAATGTAAGCAGTTATATGTTTGCAATGAATGATTGAACAAAATATTTCTCAGTATTCAACCTTAGCATTTTAATCAATAGACACATGAATAAGATTCCTGGTCATACATTTAATTTTGTCCTTCTGTTTCTGATTATTATGTTTAAAATAATAATTAAAATGTACTGATATTAAAATAGTTATTTTACATTTTAAAATTCATTTTGAATAAGTTGTGCATACACATTACAGAAAATCTTGAAAATACACTAATGTGGAAAGAAAAACAATGATAAATTACACATATTTCTGCACCCAAAGATTGTTATTGTTAATATTTGTTTTATTTTTTCCAGCTTTTGTTTTTTTGCAAGGGTTTCAAAATATATATCTAGCTAAACATTAAATGCCAAGTTCAGTTCTCTTAATTCCACATTTTTGGACAAATGAATAACTACAACAGGTTTATGTTTTTATTTTTCCTCTACAAAAACATGGTTTTCTTAAATAAATAGTGTTCTTACATTTTCTTTTATCTGTGCATTATGGCATGATTCTCAGACCTTGAGATCTCAAGGAATAGTTAAAATTTCAAAAAAATAACCAATCTAGTGTTTTTATTTTGCCCTGTTAGGCATCATAACCAAAAAACTGCTACTGATTACTGCCATAAGTTCTTTTTTTTAAAAAAATTTTTATCGAATCATAATTGATTATACGTATTTTGGGGGTTCAACGTTGACACATGTTGATCAAGTCAATATTACTAGCATATATATTGTTACTAATTGTACTTATTCTTTATGCCATTTGTCCAATCTCTCCCTATCCCCTCTTATTCCCCCCTTCCCCCTCTAATTATCCTAGACTTCTCTCCTTCTGAAAGAGTAATGGTTACTCTGTTCATCTGTTGCGTAGGTGATCTGTCCAATGCTGAGAGGTTTGTTCAGGTCCCCCAATATGATTGTAGAGCAGATGTTTCTTCTGTCACTCTGGAATGAGTTTTGTGAAGAGAGACATCCTCTTCTTTTCTTTGGTCTCTGCTGGTGACTCTCCTTGTGTCAATGCACTCCAGTGGCTGGCAGATCATCTGCACGGTGGTTGTGGTGTCTAGCTGCTTTCATGGCAGCTGTGGTTATTGTGGTGGCTGTGGTGGGCCACCCACATGGAGGTGATGTTTTTGGCATGCTCCTTACCTAGTTCGCGGTGGTGATGGCAGTGTGCCTGGTTGTGGGAGGGGGTCCGATCCCTGGCTTCATGCCTCAGGACCCCAGGCAGGCCCTGGGGCACTGGTGGAGTGTCTGGTTGTGGGAGGAGTGTCCAGCCCCTGGATCATGCCTCAGGACCCTGGGCAGGCCCTGTGGCACTGTACTGCTGTAAGTTCGTAAAGATATTGTATATTAACAACAAAAAAGTAAAGAAGGATAGAATCTCAGGATAATGGATAGACCATCCTGAAACAGTATAATTGTTACTCTCTCCCCACCTCTGATATGCGTGCACACGCTCATACTCATTTTTATTTTCTCAGATTATCACAGTTAAGGAGCCTTTCCTCTATGATGGGGAATTTGGGGAGTGTTTTTTTCATAGTTTTCTCAATTGGAATAGACACCGAGCTAATTCTTAAGAAAATCTTTATTCTACCTTCAGGCACATCCTCATCCCACCTTTGTCTGGAGATAGGGTTCCATTATTTGACCAAAGTGTTAATGTTCTTAATTTTCATGGTATGTCACCCTTTTCTCTCCTTGGTCATCAAAACATATGGTATGCCCTTAGCATGAATTTGGCATTCTAGGTTCCTGGCAGAGTGTACAACCTTAAACTCTCTGTTCCTATTTTTCTGTTTCCTATTCTTCTTCCTTATCAAAAGTTTAGTTGCAAAATATTTATAATGTGTGTTACAGAGGTAGAGTCAATATTTTTAAATTGGCAGTTTTAAAAAATGACAATATGGAATTCACACTCATATACTATTGGTGAGAGAGTCAATTTGGTATAGCCCTTCTAGAAAGCAATGTTGTAATATTTATGTTCATATCCTTTGACTCAGTGATTCTATTTCTAGGAATTTATCCTAAGGTAATAATCAGGGATGCATATATGGATTTATGTATAAGGCTGTTTCTCGTGGTGTTTGTTGAAATAATAAAAGATTAGAAATTATCTAAGTGGTCAAGAATAGGGGAATGATTAAATTAATTATGATATATCCTAATATAAAATCTATGTAGCCCATAACAATCACATTTTAAGATATAAGAAAATACTCATGATATACTAAGTCTTTATTTTAAAAAGGGTAAATAACTAAGTTTGTGTGTATATTTGTATACAAATACTGGAAATATATGTACTAAAATTTTATTAGGGTTATTTATGGACATTTAGATTTGTTTTCTTTATCCTTTACTGTACTTGTAAATGTTTTATAATACATATTAAATAAGAGTATATTTTCTTTTGAACAATGGAATCAAGTGAAATTTTTTGACTTATTGAGAGAGACTTAAAATAGTTTAAATGGGCCAAAGTTTTATGAATCAGTCAT